GCTTGTGGTTTTGGACACTTTTCAATCTATTAGCTTTAAGCATAGCATACAAGCTTGTGCTTTTGGACACTTTTCAATCTATTAGCTTTAAGCATAGCATACAAGCTTGTGCTTTTGGACACTTTTCAATCTATTAGCTTTAAGCATAGCATACAAGCTTGTGGTTTTGGACACTTTTCAATCTATTAGCTTTAAACTATTAGTGAACAAGTTGACCTACTTGAATTTGAGCCCCACTTAAGGACTGTAGCGGATGTTGTTGGAAAGAGATTCTAACTCTTCTGGAACACCTGTTACCATTCTGTGATTACGTTTCCCAGCTTTAGTGTCCACATGGCTAAAAATAGTTTTGTGTATGTGTATATCATTCTCCAAATTTCCACTTCCCTAAAAACGAAAAACTGAATTTGCCATTCTGTGCAATGAATTATACGTTGATGTATATGACTGTTTAGATTATATATCAAACTTGGCCTATCTCCTTATGACGATAGACGATGAGTAAGATCATCTCGGTTTACGGCGAATTTTGTCTGGGATTATACATTGCAAACTTACATGGAATTATTATAAATGAGGTAATGTCATGAAATGCCAGGAAATTAGCCATTTCATAGGAAATTAACCCCTATAATTAGCTATTTAAGGTGAAATCAAATCAGTAGAATTATCTGGGGTTTTTTTCTTTTGAGTTGGTAGATTGATGATAATTGAAAATCAATGTCTTGTCTAACAAAAATAACTAACTAACGGCAGACTTTTATTGTGCCAATTATATTTGTCATTGAAACACAATTGTTTAAAAGATATCGTACAAATATGGTGAAATATTGTACAACAGCTTAGCTTTGATTTAATGAAATTACCGAACTATGGTATATACAAATAACCATAAAATTCTATGGGGAGAGACTCTGAGTGACGTCTGAAAAGGTGAGCATGTCCTGCCTATAGCAACTTTCTCAACAGTACTTATTAGAATGGTGCTCAAACTTCAATAAAGATTTTACCTTTTTATGATGGAGCCCTTGTTGTTTGGGCTAAGTTCTATAGATTAAAAGGGATATCAATGTTAAACTTTCACTTTATTTAGGAATCTTGTTTTGTTTTTGATGAGAGTTGTAACTGAGAAGCTTAGATTAGGCATTGTCTTTCGGCTCGATGATACATACTTGTCAGCCATTTGAGGCTACCATACATTCCTCTGTCATAGTGAAGTTCCAACTGGAATTACATCATTAGAAAAAAATGCATGATAACAACGACTGCATGCTGGCTATAATATAATTATTGAAGCCGTCTAACCAATTATCACTTGAAGAACATCGATTCTCTTAAAACACCACAAAGAAATAAATCAATGTTATTAGAGGATGGTTATTAATTTAACCGGCAGACAAGTGAAAAATTGATGGGTCGCTTGTTTCGTTCTCTTCTAATGAGGATCTAAAGTGGTCATTTTAATCAATGGCATGCTAACATAATTCACTTATGCTTTAATGAGACATTCTATAGTAAAGCCTTGTTCACAACTCGTCAGAGTATACTGTACTCATATGGCAAACTGGATACGTTCGTCTTTAGACCTTTTAAATGACACATTTCTTTGAGGAATTTAATCCATGAACCAGTTTCTTTAACAACCCCTGCCACCAAGAACATCTTCTAAAAAGGAAAGTCATTTCATACCCTTGGCGATTGATCGGAACATCGGAACACATTGTTACACAAGGCACAGACTATAGTAGGTGGTGCAATTCCAATTAATTTTTAACATCGTATACACAATTTTTGATAGTCTCAGGCACCTGAAAAGTGCATAATAAACTAAAGACCGTATTAAGCACTTGACAGTTGACCATAATGCCGAAAACACATTGTTTATCCTTCGGAATTACGGGATAATGTTATTTTAAAGGCCACATATTTCATTTACTAACCAAATGAGACAGTCTGTCATTGGAAAAAAAAACTACAGTAGTGTAACGATACGATTTCTATAATGGGATTGACATTGTCAACCCTAGAATTATACTCAGAAAAAAAATTTTGATCTTGTGTTTTAGCTCGAGGGTAATATATTATAGGAACGGAAATAATTAAGCTACAATGGAATTACTATTGTTCAAAGATTATAATTTTCTATCGATTAGGTTATTATAACCACCATATTGTCATTACAAAATTCCATTAGACAAATTTCATTTCAAACATGATTGATACGTTTTTTTTTACTTCAGACTTTTTATATTCAGTGGCTGTCATGAAAGATATTTCCAGACTTAAAATATGTGTTGGTTATACAACTTGGACTTTAAGTATATATAGTTCATAGTTCATCTTCACAGAGTTAAGCTATTGCGAACTCCGTCTTATACCTTGACTGCATTATCCACCTTTTTTGTATCGCAGAATGTAACCATTTGATTGGATTATACACTGGGGAATACAGCAATCAGAGCTCTCAATAGAAAGACTGCAAACATCTTTTTGTCGAAACTCTTATTGGCTATATTCACTAGCACACATTTCGATCAAATGGCTGTATTTAAAAATTTCTGTGATGCAAGAAAGGTGACTATAAGACGAAGTTCGAAATAGCTTGACATTGTGCAGGGTTAGGTGATATAAAGGGCGTTTTTTTGCCATTCCTCAAGTTTTCAGATATTCTGAAAACCGGACGAAGTTTCAATTCCAGATAGGGTTACAAAAAGATGCTAATAATTAAATGTTTTCAGGCATAAGATGCGTCATTTTTGGTGGTGATGTGACACTAGCATTTTTATGTTTTCAGACTAGAGGCAGTGTCTATAATTCAAGTTGTCAAAGTGGCAACTTATATTACAATGTTTATATTTTCAGACCAGAGGCAGTGTCTATAATCCAGGGTGGCAATATGATGCTAATGCTATGGAATTCCATCATCACAGAGAGTTATGGCTTCGTGGTAAACAAAAAACAACAAGTGGGACATATAAGGTAAGTTTCATAGAAAATATTCCCTGGTGAGCATTTTTTCTTTGCATATAGTTCATGCTTGTAAACATTTGCTGCTTGATGTGCAGGATACACCATCGCAAGACAGAATCGACATCATGGTATATAAATATAGTTGCAACTATACACCCATGTAATCTGAATGCGTTTATGTGGATCAATTGACTCCAAACTTCTTGCAACATAATTGATGTCAGCAGTTATTTGGTCACTTTCCAAACTAAAATGCACTGCATTGTTCAAATGATTCGAAATGGTTTTAATTCTTTTTTATACAAAACGTTGTATAGGAATTTCAAGAATCTGGTATCTTTGATGCACAATCGGAATTGGAAAGAGTTCAAAAGGAAGAAGAAGATATTCTTTATGAACAAATAAAAGAAGAGAGAGAAAGAAAGATTAAGAGATTAGAAGATGAATTAATGGTGGAGAAGGACAAGTCTGTTCGTGAACTAGTGTCCACCATAAAGCGTAGATCACCTCAGAAAGCTATTTGTGGTTTAGAAAAAGAAACCGAGAAACTTGAAGAACATTTTAAAAAGAAACGTGAAGAAAATCTCAGGTCATTGATGGACAGAATGAGTTCTGAACAGAAAACGAAAGTAGCGTTAATGATAAAGAAACATAGTCAAGCCATGTTGTTGCTGATAGCTGAACGTCTGATGTCCCTTGAGGTAAGCAATAGTGTTTGTAATGTTGGAGGGTTGCTGGTTAAAGACATCTCGAAAGAAGGAAAAAATTTTTCTTGTATCGTCTGACAGAAATGAATATTCATTTTATTCAACCATATGTGTTTTGTACTTCACGCGCTGCCCTGCCCCCCATGTCTGGTCATACCAGACTAATATTTAATATGTCTTTTAACTGAGTTTAATTCAAATTGTTATCTGTTTTCATTTTTGCCGACTTTAACTTTGGCAATAACGGTCGCGTGATGGTTTGAAATGTTTCTTACCAAACCTTAAGTTTCCACCACGATGATTTATTGGTTTGTATAAAGCTTCAGATGCGAACGCCAAAGATTAATGCGGATAACGTTTTATTACAGGAAAGAAGTTCGTCTGATTCAGATGATAAAACTTCACCTATCTGTGATCTATCTCGTCCCCCACCTATATCACCACCAGAATTCAGACGGTCTCAGTTATTCAAAAGTCCAAGCGAATTTGAGGAGATCGATAACCATGTCTTCCAGGTAAGGGTAACATTCTGTCCCATTATGACCTAAATAGGGTTGTAAAGCTATAGTGCACATCGTATTCAAATGCCTGCTTAAGACCAAGACACGTGTCTGCACATTTCATTTTGAACAAAGAAATTTGCCACTTTGTAAGCATATTTCACAATACAGTTTGGCACGATTGGATTGGGTAACAATTGAAATTGAAAAAGAGTTGTCTGTAAACGCATATATGCAAATTCAATATGCATGTAGCACATCAAAAATTAAGATCCATTTACTTCTAGGACATCATCGATTTCTGAGGCTTAAAACGTGTATATGTAAAAGCTGTATATGTTATGATTAAAATTGCTGTAAGAAGATTATAAGAATTAAAATAAATCGCAGAAAAGAAATGTTTTACGTCCTTTTTTTCTGCACATTTGGGCTGATGAGGACGGGCAATGAAGAACATTTTCAGACGCTTCATCTGTTTTTTAGGTTGTACAAAATGAATACTCAGCGTTTACTGATTTGGTAAAAGATTTAATTCTGGGCTGTGAAACGGATTTAGAAAAGGCTAGGTAAGAATTAGTGCTCTTTGAATCTTTCTAAAGTAATTCTTTTGGATCCAGATATATAAAGCTTGTGTAACGAATGAATCTTTGCAGTTTACACAACCCTTTGAACCTATGGCTCTAGCTGATGACATACGCCTATTAGTATATGTGCACAAGTATATTATGCCCTTTTCAGTTGGGGTACCAAAGTTCCATAATAAGATGTAGGTATACCATAAAATACCAATGCCATATGTCAAGTGTTGATATTAATATATTTCAGAGCTATATTCCGTTGGATAACGTGTAAAGATTTAAATAAACTGGATATATGTGAACCAGTGAATCCAGAATCACCTCTAGGTTTATTACGTGGTATTAAATATGGTACTGAAACATATCATGATTTGTTTAAACGATTGTGCAGGTATGATACTTTATGTTTTGTGTAAATCAACTAAGGGAGAGACAGCAAATAAATGAACGATCAAAAACTTAATAGCAAAATGTTTAAAATTCAACTTCTGTAAGCGGTAGTTTTGCTACTGATATGATTTCGATTTTGATGTTTTAGAATTGTCAGATATATCTTGCTTGATCCGCATATATCTTCACATTTTCACCTACTAATATTTGTAAATCTATTGTTGGATTTGAAATGAAATGAAAATGAAATGAATGGAGTTTTACGTCCTACTTTTCTGCACCATGTGGGCTAATGAAGACGGGCAACGCCATGCAGGTTGCGATGAGGGAAATTTTGCCAGGACAGCGGCATTAGCCTGCTCTTTTTCGATTTCCAACTGTCGAGGGATCTTTAACGTGCACAGCCTGTAGCACACGGGGCCTCGGTTTATTGTCCCATCCGAACGACTAGACGCTTTTTCCATGTCAGCCCCTCTTACCTGCATCACTGACAGGGGGAAACCGGGTTGAAAAATCCGAAGGTATTATCTCGACCTATGCCGGGATTGAACCCTGGTATTGTTGGATTTGAGATTACTTAGATCGTAATTAGGCTCTTAGGCAAGGTGTCATGCACTATACTTACTAATTTTTCTGTCCTCATTGCGTTTAGGATGTGTCTGTTTTCAGAGCATATTGTTACTAGATGTTCAAATGACATTAAACTATTTTGGTTATATTTCAGTTTTGCAGGTCTCTACTGTGAAGTGATACAGGGATATTCTAAAGGTGCTGGATATAAACCGGGTATGAAACTAGAAGATGAAAAGTTCCGTAACTCCTGGACTGCTGTTAGTATCGATGGATCGTGGTGCTTCGTCAACTGTAACTGGGGCGCCAGACATGTCAAGGGAAATAACTCTTCTAATAAGGAGAACAAAAATCAGTATTTTTACGCCTGTGATGAGTTTTATTTCATAACTAATCCCGAGGATCATATATTCCAACATTTTCCGGACGATTCAAGATGGCAGCTACTCGAGTGTCCGATTTCTTTAACGGAATTTATCAGTCTTCCTATAGTTAAATCATCCTTCTTTAATTATGGACTCAAATTCATCATGCATTATGAATGTAAACAGTATTCCAAAAACGGTTTAATTGTGTTACAACTTAAAATACCCAATATTTTGGGTTTCGGGTATACATTGGACCCAAAAGACAAATGCGTCAACGCTTCCCAATTGGAGGGTCGTGTTATGTTATGCATCATAGGACATAAAGCTATTTTTACCGTAGCTCCACCTAAACCAGGAAAGTATTATTTTACAATATTTGCTAAAGACGATTGGTGCTCAGAATCTTTACAAAGTGCATGTGCATTTCAACTCAAGTGTCGGGAACGAAAAGAAAAAATCAAAAGCCCTTATCCTAAAGTGTCTTTCTTTGGACCTACTCCGAGTATGAGTCTATATGGATTAGTTCCTAAAACACACATCGACCCCATTATGGTATACAGCCATGATGACATCGTCATTCAATTTGAACTTCATCTTGACGTGAAACTTTCTCATTCTTTATGTTACCATGGAAACGAAAAATCCAATATCGATTACCAGCGTTATGTGTTTATCAAACATCGAGATTTTGATACTGTGTGTTATCAAATACGGTGTCCAACAATGGGCAAATTTGTGTTTTCATTGTTTGGTGCTCGAGTTACCTCCCCTAATGACACCAACAGTCCCTTAGAGTGCTTGTTCCGGTATTTAATCGAAAGCAGACAGACGGCAACAGACAAACGACCATTACCACGAGCATGTCATCGATGGTGTGGTGCAGATCTTTTAGAACCAAAGTGTGGTGATATAGGTCTGGAACAATTAGTGACGTTTCGTGTTCGTGTACCTGCTGCATCTGATGTAGCTGTTCTCATTGGAGACGCATGGTTCCACTTCCGTGAACTCGCAGACGGTATTTGGGAAGGCACTGTTTTGACTGGAAAGAGGGCCTGTATAGCTAAATTATACGGCAGGCTGAACAAAGATACGACGAGGTTTTCTCCTCTGTTAGAATTCCAAGTAAAATGACGAATGATTTTTAGAATGGTAGGCCTACATGCAACTCAATCGTAAAATATGATATAATAATAATTATTTTTGAAAGTAATCATTGAACTAAAAAAGAATAGTCCTCTTATAATTCATTTTACCGTTTGGCGGAATTTTCCACAATAAAAATAAGGTATTAATGCAATGCAATGGAGTTCTATCAGATTGTAAACTGGTTTATAAGAGGACTATCTGACTTTATGTTAAACTATTTATTACGTTAAGTTATTTTGTTTTGTTATAATAATATTATTCAATCTCGACAGAATTACCTTCCGCCTGAATAGCAACTCTTGTTTGTATCGAAGAGAGTAATGCAGGGAGTTGTAAAGGACATGATCACTCAGATTTTTTGAATAAAATGCATATAACTCCCTAACACAGGTAATACTAATTGCACAATATGCCATCACATGAAGCGTGGATATGATCTGGACTCTGGATAATAACTTATTATGTTGTTTTCAATAAAAGTTATCAAATAATATATCCTTGGCTTTTTCAACATCTGATTTACTAGGTTATGCTTTGATATTATCTTGTCTAGTTATTGGTCCACAAATACCAATGGATCATTCAAATCCAAAATACAATGTTACAGTTTGTCATCCTTAAATAACTATTTCATTCAAGACAGTGCACAAAATATTAAGGCTGGACTATTTTAATCTATGGAATATGGTGCTATCAATGTACAATTGTACATGCATTGCCAAACTGTTATTTTGGATTTGGGATTTCGTTTTGCGGTTTGGACAGGTACTACACATTTGCCATCATCAAATGGCTTTTTTAAACGACTAGTCTGATGGCACAAGATTTGCGCATGAACTCGTAATTCTTGCGAAGCCATGTCGTGAAAAATGAAAAATTAAAGATGCTTAAAGTTTATTATTATGATATGATAAGTCATGTTGGATAATATCTACCGTTGCTAAAGGAATATGATGAAACGTATGATTTGATTTGCAATAGTCTATACCCATGGCCCAATGTCTATACTTATGTTCGACACAGAGGTTTACACATTTCCAGTATCATTTTCAACCATGTTTAGCGAAACAGTGTGACACATCGTATAAAGTTCTTCTAATTTGATGGTTTACAATGATATAAAGTGAACATTACAGTAGTTTATTCTCTAGAATAAGACGCTGATGATTTCCGGTACTGTTTAACACCTCTTCTACAGATCATGATATTACCCTTCTCTGTATCATTACAGAACTCTATAGCCTTGTACAATGGAACTTTGGTGTTTATATTGTCATTCTTGACGATTTTTCTGCTATTGGCATCTGAACAGAATGGTGTATGAGCTCGTAGTCCTTGTGGATAACCATAAGCTTTCTGACACGGTTGTCGTCCTGGACAAACCCACATCGGCATCGCGTAAGATATTTCAGTTTCGGTGTCGTTTAAAAAGTTGGTCCTTGGCCTAAATCAAAATATAAACATATGATGTATCTTCAACAGCTCATTTGGCATGCCATGTTAAATTTTCACCAAAGAAATATCTAGTCCATGTGTAAACCATCTCTTCAGAATCCAAGCCGAAAAAATAAGATGCTTAATACGGTTTGCTTTAAGAGAAATAAACAATTAAATCTAATCTTACCTGAACAAACTTAATGCAAGTCCCTCTATGATAAAATCATGTAGTAGAAATGTAATATCGGTTGTTAAGAGAAACCCAATATCAACAATCCTTTCTATTCAAGCTTTAAATAGACAAGATTTTCTATCAAATAGTGAATTAGTATTGACAATGTGATTAACAAGACATTTATATTCACGCGATTACAATGTTATTTTTCTTATAATACACTGCACTATGTATTATAGTCTTTAATCACAAGCAATAGGTCCTTCTGTGGGATAACATTGCATATACTGAGTAATTGGTGTTTCTCCTCATCCTGTTCTTTCATAACTGCGGCATTAGCCTGCTCTTTTTCGATTTCCAACTGTCGAGGATCTTTAACGTGCACAGCCTGTACCACACGGGGCCTCTGTTTATTGTCCCATCCGACTAGACTAGACGCTTTTTCCATGGCAGCCCTCTAACCTTCATCACTGGTGGGGAGAAACCGGGCAAGAATACATAGAGGTGATGGAAAATATTGTTCAGGCAGGAGTAAGTATTTAGCAAGAAGTAAGAGAAGTGCACAGGGAGGGAAGTACGGTTTGCATGGAATGAAGATAAGGACAGTCAAAGGAAAAAGAGCCTGGGAGTACATAGCGAGGAAGGAGAGATTGTGGATGAGGAGCAATCTTAAAGGAGAGTTTAGAAGTCAGACATACAGAAGAAGGTGTAATAACAAGGTGAAGGAGATTTCGTAGGGATGGGGTGTAGATGAAGGGGGCAGTAGTAATCGAGATATGAGTGAGTGATGGTAGCTATGACAGGAAAGAGGGAGAAATAGACCCAAGGACTTTCTCTTATATTGAGAGGTACTCATTGTACTTCCGTGCAATGCTTCGAATTACAGTACTCCGAAGACTTATTACGGATCGCCATCTTTCATCTCTCTTACTGAATTAGCAATTCTTTGATCATCGGGTGAAAATTTTCATAAGTAGACTCAGTGGTCGAATAAAATTTGAGAGAATTGCTTCCCTTGAAGTAAAACGTATATAAAACGTAAATATTAAAATTTAATAAAATGGATTCGGAATTCAAATTGTTTGGAGTGATAGACTCTAAATTGATCTCATAATGATATGGCCTCATAAATAAATTTGCATCTCATTCTCATTTTAACCTATAAGAGTACAGCATTGAGATAACCTCTCATAAAAAGAAAAAGTTAATTTCAACAAATCCAGCCTTCAAACACATTCTGTTATTCAAATGTCAATGTAGGTCTACAAAACAACTAAATCAGCATGATGTGTTATTTCATTAACAAAATCGTGACAAATTTAATTTTGTTATTAATCGATAATTTATTCAGATAGCACCAATAATTAATTATATAACAAATAAACAAACAAATATCAACAACATGATAAGCATCACAATGGGAAAACAAATAAAAGTGTTACCAAAGATATAAATTACAGTATGCACTTAAAACAGAAAGTATAACACACAGAGCTAACGTTATTGGCGACCGGATTGTGATTGCGGATGACAACGGAAGCTCAAATTGGGGGGTTTCGAAATCAGGATTCATTCCACTGACAATTGGATACAAAAAATATCGATCGTATTCGGCGTTCTGTCTTTGATCACAACCTTGAGATACGGATGGTAAACAATGAAATAAACCATTAAAACATCGACAAATATTACACTGATTTTTAAACCATACACCATGCATGATATTACCACAAGATTTCGTGATCTCGGACCCTCTTTTATTGTGTTTTCTTCCAGGCTCTTGGAAAGATTCGGTGGTGGTTTCAGGGAACATGCTGGTGGTAGTTTTCATAGTAGTATGTGTACTTCTTGCCATGGTTGTGTCTGAGATTCTTGTTAATTTATCATTCTTTCTTGAATGGATGAATCTGTACACTCTTTTACCTTTTTTGTGTTTTCGAATCCTTCTTTTAGATTTAATGGCTTTTTTAGTTCTTTTTATTTGAACTTGATGCTTTCTCGTATTCCCTGAGTTAAGTTTACCTAACTTGTTAACTTTCTTGATATGCTTTTTATTTCTTTTGGAAATAACTCTTCTGTGCGATTTAGAATGGTTTGGTCTATTTACCATATTGTTTTTTCGTATTCTGACGTCTTCAACACTCACTCGTTTAAAATTCGTGGGGATTGTAACAAACCTATACACCCTTTTACCATGTTTCTTATTCAAACTTGCTACTTGTTTTAAAATTTTCTTGATTTTTTGTGGATTTTCTGATCTTTCCTTTAACATTTCGGTATTTTTCGGTAATATAGGTACACTTACGCTGTTTTCAGAATTGAAGGTGATTTCACCATTTGGTCTCTTTAAATTCTTCATATTTTTCACCAATATAATGCTTGAATTATTGGTAATTAATCTTCTGAAGACATGTCGTGACAAATGCTTAAAATTTTCACTTTCTAACAGTCGTTTATCTAATAAACTTTTCTTAGGAAAATGTCTACCCATGGCCGACGACATGGCCAAAAACACAACCAATAAACACACCTTGTACATTTTAATTATTTCTGAAAGTTTGTTAAATACGAAGGGGGTGACTTTAATGAAGAGGTGACGATGTGGAGGGGTTATATATCAAAATCTATGGATGTGGCACATCTCAGCTTTAATCAATCGACAGTAGTCACCACTGATTGACATGACGTCACTGGGTTTCACTAATTAACATAACAGTCACGATAATCAATCACAACACTAACAAAATCACTAATTAATGGCATCTTCTGAATTGTTACTATGCTAATTAATGGTGACATAGATGAAATCAAACTGCAGGAGATATATTTTTGAAATTGAAAATTTATTTTGATTGCGATGACGTCGTTCGGTTTAACTAAGCACTCAAAAAGTCTTGATAACCTATCAGAAAATTTAGTGCTCACTGATTAATGACAGCAGTTCGAAATATATGGGTCTTAAATTTGAAAATATGTCACTTGTTTGAAAACTTTTTTTTGTTATGATTAATTTGTTGGAGATTCAGTTTGACTAATTACACAATCATGATACTCAACCAGAAACAAATGAACTGTTCACCACTGATTACTGACGGCTTCTGATGACTCGCAGTCAAATATATTCCCAACATTTCAAATATCATGCTCTCTCATTGTTATTTTGTCATACCAGATCACATGTGAGATAAAATGTTAATATATGCGCTGTCATTCTTATTTTTCAACGTGAGATTAAATGTGAGATAAAATTTTAATATATGCGATATCATTATTATTTTTCAACGTGACATCAAATGTGAGATAAAATTTGATAATTAAAAAATCTAATCATATTACATTATGACAAGATGAAATGGTGTATCAGCCTCTGATATTTGTCAAAACTATCAGAAGCTTCATATGCGATCGGGTTGTGTGGGTAACAAATACAAATTTCTCTGTCATCTTTTCATTTCTTTATTTTCACTCTCAATGAGAAATTAAAAAATGTATGTATTTCTTTTTATTTATGTACTATTATATATGACGTGCGACAGTTAAAAAAGACACGGATAAAGTTATTTAATAAACATAAATTCAATGATTATTCAAACATCTTTTGCAAAATTAACACCCATAAGATCCCATTGGCCTTCACATTGTTATGATATCACAACGTCGTGGGCATATGTCTTGATGTATAAAATGGAACTAGAGACATCCATCAAATCATTTTTCAATAAACCTAGGTAAAACTGGTAATATCACATTTCCAAATGAAGAGTCTTGTGTGATGAAATATCCAACAGAATTGGAATGAGCTGTCTGCAGAGCATTTCGCTGTTGAGGTGTCATGTGAGTTTCTACGACTAATTGTGATGCGGGGTTAGGTACGGACGTTGTGGGTGGTGCAGTGGTCAATGGCATTGTCACACTATTAGACACATTAGAGTTCAAACTACTCGATCCACCATGAGACTGCATTCGTAATCTCTTCTTTTCCTCTTCCAGTTGTTCTAAAAGTTTTCGATTTCTGCCACTTTGATCCTGAAACGCCATTGTATTTGAGACAAGCGCCTTGGGTTACTGAAAATATAAAATGGAAATCAGAAGCACAATATCTGCAAAAAAAAACAAACAAAAAAACACACAATTGGGTTTTAATGAAATTAGAGGGAATCACAGCTAATTATCACTAATGCTAGCCATGGTCCACGGATGTGTGTTTGGGAGAAAAGGCATGTCAATCCGCGAATTCAATTTGAGATTGTACACTTAACTATCAAAGGCACAAAGAAATAGTTCATGAATGTGGTCTGTAGCATTCTGTGAGGCATTCGAAACCCGTCTCTAATTCGTATTCACCTAAAGTATGTCTGTCAGTTTCATGCAAAATATAATAAGTTTAATGATTAATAATTTATGCTTTTTCTTTTCCCACCCCAAATCAAATCAAGCAAATAAAACCACACGAACGAGTTTGCTCGCGTCTAAATCTACGACATTAAATAATCTAGTGATTACGAATGGACACGAATGACCCTCAAAAGCACAGTAAAGAGTTATCTTCCCCTTTTTCGTGCACTTCGAAGTAAAAACCAAAAAATGGCATCGTATAAAAAGAAATATCTCATTTAACTGTTTCAATTGCAATGCTTAGTTTCAATGACTTACCACTTTCTTTCCTAGACTGTAATGAGACCAGTTTCTTTGTTAAAAACTCAATTTATTGATCGTGTTTTCGTACAGTATATTCTTGATTGTTTACACGAGTTATCTCCCTTTAGATTTCAGCCAATCAGTGTGCAACGTTGACAAATTGAGGAACAATATGGTGGACAATGGCTGAACCGATTCGAAGACCTGATCAAATATCCCCTAGATCTAGTCCCCGGGACAGGGGATCGAGGTCTCCAGCATGCCCCAGACCGGACTCCACAGGCACCTTAAAGACAACTATAAGTTTGGGGAAGAATCCCTCTGTTAAACACACAGGACCCTTTTATTGCCTGAAAGATATACCTGGTAATTTATTTATTTCTTTCTGACTTGTTTGGCAGGGGATATTTACCACTTATTATGAAAAGTTCTGAACCATATGTCGGCATAATCATATCATGGTTTACTGTTATTCTTTCCAATTTTTTGTGTCAGATTTATATATTGAAATATGAAATTGGCTTTATGCTCGATCAAATTATAACTTCTTTTAATACTGGTACGGCACTAATAGGAAAAAAAACCCCCAAAAAAACAACCTTTTCCAGTCTGTAGATGAGGGCTGCAGTGACAAAGTTATATAGGAACTTTCATTCTGTATGGCTTGACCAACGATTAGATCAACTGATATTATTTAGTTCCTATGGTCAGAGATGAGGAATTTAGAAATACAGCTTGATTATGTCTTTTGTGTCTCTAATTTGTCTGTTTCTAAAAAAGCCTGTGAAATATTTCATTTTTCTGTTTCCTTACAGAACAATCTGAGATTACTGGTAGCACTAATTTATTACACCACTATGGACTGGAACATTCATACAATAAATTCTGTGGAAAGAAAGTCAAAGAAGAATTGAGTGCATTTTTACCTCATTTACCTGGTAATATAGACATACCTGGTGTCCAGGATAATAGGTAAGTTGTTGTACTAGTTATCGATAACATTTTATAATGGTCCTTATGATATGAATAAATTAAGTAAATATTGTTGGCTTGGAATTCCTGTTACTGAAAAGCTCTCAGAATTTACACAAGTGGCCAAAGCCACAACCTGGCTTCTTTTGAAGGAGGAGTGTTAAGTATGGAGATAGAAGACAAGTGACTTGTTAATTAAGCTTATATATTTTCTTTAAAATGTCTCATATTCATTTGAATCGTTGTTCCTTTTCAATAAATTGTAATTATAACAGAATTGTACATTATTTATGTTGCTAGACAAATACAGATGCTCATTATTTTGGAACACTTGTAGACTTCTATTAGAGGGTTTTCGCTTTGTCTACTCTTTTTAAAGTCTACATACCTAAGGTCATTAAGTCTTTAATTTGTCTATATATATATATTTTTCAGTTCATTACGTTTATTGATTGAGAAACCACCTATAATTGGTAAAGAATTGACTCAGTTATCAGGATTATCTTTAGCAGGCTTTAGATTACATCCTGGTCCTGTAAGTATACTATATATTATACTTGAAATAAATAAAACTTCTGAATTTCAATGAAACTATTTAATTGTGTGCCTTTGAACTCTCCTACATTTTGAAAATGTATGTTTCTAATTTTTACTAAAAATCATGGAACTCGCAGATCGTTGAGGTTGTATAAAACCTACATATACAGTGATTCAGGTTGTGCTGCCAGCTACATGGCAGTTGGAAATTCAAGTCTTCAATGGCTGAATCAATTTGCAAAAATGTAGGATGTAAAACTACATTTCAATATTGTATTTCTGATACATAGTTTAGAAATATCCTTTTCCCTGTAAATAATTTTTCAATTTTGTTTTATTTTTTACAGTTACCAGAGCAGTACAGAATGTTACATCAATTACCATCCAAGAAAAAGAAACATAAAAAACACAAGAAAGAAGGAGAGAAGACGAATGCTTTATCTGAAGCACAGAGTAAGTTTAAATAGTTTGGTGTCACCTTCTGTCAGTTTAATTTCCCTTATACAAAGTAGATGATTATAAGATAGTTTCTCTATTTTGTCTTAGTTAAGATTTTGAGAAACAAGGCCCTGAAATAGTTGAGCCGGTTTGAAAATATTTCTTGAGAAATGGAATATAGGAAATGGTAAATGAAATATTGATATTTGTATTTCAGCCATTGATAATGCATCTGATGCAGAATCGAGAAAACCAAAGAAACCTAAAAAAGAAGATGAAAAAGATAAAGACGGAAAGAAGAAGAAGAAAAAAGACAAGAAAAAGAAAAAGGTGAATGTAAAAATGTATTTGAATATTATGAGATATTTGATGAGTTCTGATTACCTTTTAGTTACTCTGCCTGTAAATTGTTATTGAATTAAATGAACCCCTCATCTTTTATATGCTTTCACGAAGTTGGTTATCTCCAATCTTGTCTATTTAAGATTGCATAGAACATTAGATTTCATAGAAGACCATTTCATTCATTTCTAGCCCTCTATTTCAATTTGAGTGAAGAACAAGATTACATAACAGAATATCCAAATCATAGGACATATTTTTGTTGATTAGGCTAGAAAATCAATTTTTGAGGTGTTAAGAACACAGATGCTAATACAGTTGATATTTGACTCTGTTATTTGAATATTTCAGAAATACAGTGGAAGCCCAGATGATATTGGTGATGGTGGTTCATGATAGATAGTTTTTGTCTCCATATATATATCTTTATTTATATTGCAAACATTCACATCTTCCTAGTTCATCATACATGGTCATCTTCTCAGTTGATCATACATTGATATCTTCCCAGTTGGGGTTGAATAGACAATAAAACCAATTTCAAACATCTTGTCATCAGCATCGTGTCATCTTGTATTTAACATTCATGGCTAATCAGATCCTAGAAAACTCTGTAAAGCTGTAACTTTTGTATTTAATAAGACATATTTTTAGACAAAAATGTGCATTTTTCAAAAAGCAGATAGTAATTGAAACAACCTGAAAAATAAATCATTAATCATATACATCATAGGGCACCATTTTGTGAAAATATCAGGAAAAATCATGTTTCAGTGTTGATAGATTGAAAGAACAGAACTGTGAGGAAAATTGTTCTGATTTGAACAAATGTGACTTGAACCGAACTTTTAATTGTACTTATATCATAGGACAGTGAAATTTCTGTCCAAATTCAAAGATATGAACTCTTAACATATACCTTTTATAGAGTCATAATTAAAAAATACAGCTCATTCTTGTTAAATTTAAACAGTTAAAAGTAAATTTATATAAACTGCCATTGAATTGTACTGTGTTTTTTTTTTAAGGAAATGTCCAATTGTTTTCTGTAAATATTATAGAGAGAACTGTTCTGGGTCAAAGCAAAGTTGGCTCTCAATAGTTATCAGCTAATTTCATTTGACCATTCCATACTGTATTGTAATGTCATGTTTTCTTTTTAAGTTAATACTCCACATAGTAGATTCAGTCATAGTCCCATTCTTAGCTAAGTGCTGCATTCACGACCATGAAAAGAAACTTTTATTGTTTCTGATATTTAAGTTTATCTGTTAATACTATTATGTATATTAGAAAAGGAGGATACTATGGCTTGTTTTGTGAATATAGCTTGCCGAATTCTGCCAAAAAGTACCAGAATCCAGGTAATAGTTAATGTTGTCAAAATCTTTGAAAATTATTGAGTTTGAATCATCATCACATTGTGGTCAGAAAAGTCAAAAAACGTAATGTATACAATTTATCATGTTAATGTTTTGTTAGTTTTATATTCTTATGAAAAATCTTATTTCTAGCATTCCTAACTTGTTGTGTATTGTAGTCTTGTATTGTTTTAATGACCCACATCTTTTATTTCCATTTGTTCCATTAATATCAACTGGTGAAGGCTGTATCAATAAGTCCCTATCTTCACAATCTCAATGTTTTAAGAACTTCGTCTTATGCTTGACTGCAATAATAGCCATCTTTCTTGTATCACGGAATGCAGCAATTTCATTGGATTATACACCAGCAAATACAACTAATTTGAGACTTGGACAGAAAGGCTGTAAACATTATGGCTTTGTCTTCGCAGACGTTCTGCCGAGGCCCCTGATGAGCTGTATTAGCTACAATCCAACAAAATGGCTTCATTTACAAACTTACATGATGCAAGAAAGGTGACAATTGCAGTCAAGGTATAATATGAAGTTCGTATTAATTTGACATTGTGAGGACGACAAGTCTCATCCTATTTAATGTAGGCTGTTATTAAGTGTCAGCCATGTTAATATCGCGGATTCCTCTGTTATGCTTTTTGGTCATAAGAATTTTGATGACGGTCTTGAATTGACGATGGACTAAACCTCCCACGGTTTTTGTCAGTAGTAATGATCTCAAAAATCAAAATTATAGGTAGTTGGACGTTAGAAAACACACTCAATATGTGTGGGCCTACTGTGCAATATTTAGCGTGTGCAGGCCGACTGCATTTGGCTAAAAACACCTTGGAAGAAAATGGGCTTCAGCAGCAGCAGACTGAATTTGGTAAAACATTGTTGCGAGACAAGCATACTGCGAATTCACTGGTTAAGCGACTTTCCACAACGCTCCAATATTTGGCAACCGGAACAACATTTGAAGATCTGAAATATCGATAAATATGCCAACTTTTAGGTAGCTATTATCGATCATAAACTATCAAAATCACGTCAAATAATTTCGAAAAGGTTGGAGCTTGGGCCGTTCGAGCTGGGCTATTTTTACGGATTTACTCAAGTTGTCTAGGCCAAACTTCAAAATGTTGAACGGTGTGATTTCCTATAGTCATTATTAGTAATCAACAGTTGCAAATTGGACTGGTTTGAGATTTCCATTCCTTAGGAGAAAATTGTCAGAGATCACTAAAGAGGTTCACTGTTTTCTCATGTCAACGTTTGACGTTATGACGTCATTTAACGTCAAATAAACAAAATGTTACTAAGCAGGCAATGAGAGCAAAATTTAAGATGTCCGATTTTTCCTATCGTTACAGTTTTAAAAGACATTTAATAATCATGTAAAGGTGAGTTGGACCTCTTACTTTAGTTTAATTTCAAGCAAGGTATACTAAGATCAAGAAGACGCGGACAAAACCAAAAATCCATAAGTAGAGTAGATTAAGCCAAACATACAAAGTTCTGGTCTGGCCTATTCCTCTTTTAGAGGTTCGATCTAGCCTCTAGGCCTACCTCTACTTCATACCGCCGCCAAGAGCCTTATATATGACCAATCCTACATCGTGTCATTTATTCTAGTCTAGCCAGTTCAGACTTGCTGATTAAAACAGCTCATAGGCCCCTAGATGATGAGTTTTTGCGAATTGACGGTAAGTTAGCCCGAAGTGGGTTTAGATTGATGAACGCCCAAAAATTCCCATATCCTACACGAAAATCCGATAAACGTCGTCCAGAACGGTCGCGAGTATTTGTTGATAATATATTTCATTGTCATATTTTGATTTTTGATGGCCTTTTTGTTATACACAATTATACGTTTTGATGGGCATAACTGTGATGTTTGATTGACATATTTTGACTTTTGATGGACATATTGCGAGTTTTGATGGACATTTTGTGATTTTTGATGGACATATTTTGACCTTCTGATATGTTATCACTTATTTAACAGATAGATCTATGTTATTCACTCACTCTTTCAATTGATCAACAAATCTATTCAAATTTTTTTCTGAGAGAGTCCCATGGTGCTTCCGCATTTGAAATCTCGCAATGTTGTCACCCATTAAGTCAGTTGGCCCCTATTTGTGCCCCGGGTTCCAAGAGGCCACCACTGCCACTTTAGTCGAGGTATTAGATGCATTTCGTAACATTAGCATTGTGAAGATGTGAAGACCATAAACCTTCATTTTTCTAGAGTGGTACATAGAGAGAAAAATTATTAAGTTTTACCAACTAACACAACCATATATCTTACTGTAGATACATCTATAAATTCACTTAAATGGATTGTAAAAAGATTCTACAGTGATGTGATCAAACGCTTAGCTTTAGTGGAATTGCAGGAACTACAAGAATTGTAATTGTGGTATTAGTGTTGCCAATAAACTTTAAGGCCCATATTCTTGAAGGCTGATTAAGGCAAGTCAGCGATTTAGTCTTAGTTTAAGTTTGTTGTTACATTCCTCAACATAGTATAAATTTTGATCACTGATTTTAGAAATCCTCATTAACATCCCCTATAAGCTATGGCAAGTTTTCCATTTAAATATACCTCATCCAATCTGTTACTTCTATTGTACTTTGTTTTTTCAGACTACCACAAATGGCACTATTGCAAGTTGCTACCAACGTTGGGAGGTCACATTCTCTATATGCACGTTCAGATTCTGAATTAGCGAATTTCGACCTCAAAAATATTAAGCCTGCTAAATCACTACATAACATCAAGGAGCAAAGAATTGTTACATTGAATGTTGGTGGACAAATTTTCAAAACCTACGTTGACACATTACTGAGAGTAAAGTCTTCGAGGTTGACATCGATAGCCAGGCGTGCATTGAACGTTCAAAGTAACTGTTGTGATCAGGAATATTTCTTTGATAGAAATCCTGATGTTTTTGCAGCCATCATAGACTATTGCAGATTTAATAAGCTTCATTTACCGAAAAATATTTGCTCTCTGTATATTCGCAATGAATTGGAATTTTGGGGCATAAGTGAAAGTGACATATCAAAATGTTGTCAAAAAGCATACTTTGACAACATTGACGATCTAAGAGTCAACGAAAATTTGGCATTAGAGTTTGCAGCATTAAAACCGAAGCAAACAACAAAATCTCAGAGCTGTAAAGAAAGAATATATGATGTATTATACTATCCAGAAACATCAGTAATTGCAAAGGTAAGAAACTTCTGAATTTAAAGGGATTTCTTCATCTTAATAAGCTTAGTTATTATAGATTGATAGATTTCACTTCTAGTTATCCTTAGCAAGAATCAAAATTTGGCGCTCGATTCTCTTCTTTCAGGGCTGTTATTTATTATATTATACGCCATCGCTGCATGGGTTATTTGATAAGTCTCCGATTAGGTTAGAGTAGTATGGTTTCCCATGAGAATCAATTTACTGTCGTAACAAAAATATTACCAATTCTGTACGAGACACGTCAGGAAGAACCGACATCAAGCAAACACCACTACAATCGCCAACACCAAGCCGATAGATATTGAAGTAAAATTGGTTGAATGAAAAAACTCAGGAAAATGCAAACAAAAATACAAAAATATCGATGCCATAAAGCAATATCTTATGACAACCAAAGTAGTGGAAGACTCCTAAATTTATTAAACTTCTTTTTTTTTTCAGATTTGGGCTGTAGTGTATTACATCTTAGTCATTGTAACAGTATTTAACATATTTTTATCAACGGTTCCAGAATGTCGTGTACCCGTAGATGGCGCTTATTTACCGCCATATTATACTGAAGATCATGATCACGATAATCATCCAGACAGTTCCGGTAGCGGCAACTCTTCGTCATCCTCCCAAACAGCAGCCTTGTCTATATCAAACTATCTGCTGAAGCAGCTGGAGACTAACGTAAAGGTGCGAATGCTGGTAACGACAGAGGCCGCCCCTGCCATCCAGTATATCGATTTGTTCTGTGTATTTTATTTTACAATTGAATTCTTTGCTCGAGTGATCACTGTGCCGAGTTTATGCCGCATGTTCAGACAGTTCTTTACATTCTGTGATTTGCTGTATCTGATTCCCGTGTGGGTCTTGTATATTGTCCAATGGTCTGATGAAAAATTCTGGAGACAACCTGAGAACATCGTCGTCTTCCTGCTGTTAGAGTGTTGTATAGTGGCCAGGGTCGTTGCTTTGTTCCGAGTTGCCAACCACTACAGAGGATTGCGAGTGTTAGTATTGTCATTAAGAGCAAGCTTGGGTGAATTATTTTTGCTCTTCGTCTTCATTATCTTCGGAATGGTCGTATTTTCATCTTTGATATACTGCGTAGAGATATTTATAGTTGGGAACTTTGAGAACATGTTTTATGGTTTATGGTGGAGTCTTATTACCATGACTACGGTAGGATACGGAGATACTGTACCTAAGTCGGGATTTGGATATCTAGTCGCGTGTATTTGTGCTATGACTGGAATCATACTTATTGGAATGATTGTACCAATAATAACGAATAACTTTCACAAGTATTATGAATTCCGCCAATGCTTAAATGACCCCGGACCTGGGGTAGGTGAAGAACTCCCAACATTCATAGAGTCGTCACCGAGATCAGAAGAGAGGAAACCTTCTGGCAATAAAACTGCCCCAAGTCCAGAGTAGAAAGAAGGTGTTGATGAACCAGCTTTGGGGATGGTTAATTCGAATGAATTTTTATTTTGTGTAAATAAATGTAAATAAATTATTTTACGGTTACCCATGAAATTCATTTCATTGGGCTTTAGTATTTGTATGAAAGGGTTTGAGTGAAATAACAGTACCCTTAAGGAATTTTGTCAAAAGATAAAAGTGTTTCATATTGGTTGAATGAAAAAAAATATCGATGCCATATCTTATGACAACCAAAGTGGTGGGAGACAACTCCTAAATACAAACAAAACATTAACGTCGTTATAAACTATGATACAAGTATAAGCCAATAATTATAAAATAATTGTACAGATTACCAGCATCCGATATCGGCTAGGGCATTTTTCTTCTTATGATATTAACTACAATTACTTTATAATTACAATAAACCCTGGCTGCTACTTCAAATCATGCAGTTCTATATTGAGAATGTCGTCTCATTCCAATTTTAATACTGCGATGTCTTTCTTAAACATGTTTACATTCGTCCCGAAATAATGGCTATCATTTCTAAAAATTCTAAAATATTTGATATCACAACATTAATCATTCTTGAATACTTGATATCACTACATGACTCATTGTAAACATACTTCATATGACTACATTACTCATTGTAAATATACTTGATATCACTACATGACTCACTGGTAAACATACTTGATATCACTACATTACTCACTGTAACTATACTTTATATCACTACATTACTCACTGTAAACATACTTGATATCACTACATTACTCATTGTAAATATACTTGATATCACTACATTACTCATTGTAAACATACTTGATATCACTACATTACTCATTGTAAATATACTTGATATCACTACATTACTCATTGTAAACATACTTGATATCACTACATTACTCATTGTAAATATACTTGATATCACTACATTACTCATTGTAAAATACTTGATATCACTACATTACTCATTGTAAATATACTTGATATCACTACATTACTCATTGTAAAATACTTGATATCACCACATTTCTGATTGTAAAATAATAATTTTAGCTCGTTACTAAAAAATCATTGTAAAATACTTGATGTCATCACATTACTCACTGTAAAATTATTGAATTCACCGCATTACCCACTTTATGATAATTGATATCAGTCACTATAAATACTTGATATCACTACATTACTTATTATAAATACTTGATATCACTACATTACTAATTGTAAATTATACTTGTTATCACCATATTACTAATTGTAAATTATACTTGTTATCACCATATTACTCAACCTTGAATACTTGATGTTTCCATAATACATATTCTAAAATACATACACAGCACAAAAGAAATGATCTCCTGTGTTTTGTAAAATCCTATAAACAATGACGTTGGTGACATCTATAATTATCTTTATATTAGGAATCCCTTTGAATGCGTTTTATAGTTTCTTATAAAATCGTCGGAATATAAATTACATTTCTGATATTGAAATGATTGATATTATGTTTGAAATATTCCAACGTAGTAATTGCTATAATTTATAGCTTCTTATGAAAAAATTGAAAGGATTTGAATAACCTTTAGTTGAAATCTTTCACATCACATTTTCATTTTAATATAAAATTTAAGTCAAGACTGTAATTGAATACTTAGTTTCTAAAACTAAAGATATTGTCTATAAGATGAATTGTTTCTAGCTTTTCAATATAAGTTTAATTCGTTTTGGTCTAGTGCCTATTAATTATTTGTTTTATTTCCTTTCTTGTTGATACAAAACATATTTTAACAATAAAACCTTCTCAAGTTTCTAAGATTCGTGACCATTAAAAGCCTAAGGTTTTTTTTTAATGTTTAAATGACAGTGTATTGTAAAGGGCATAAATCTAAAGCATTTTAAAATGAGCACTGCCATGGTATCAAGTATTTTAGAATGAGAAGCCAAATTCAGTGGTCTAAATGAATCTAGAATGAATAATTTATTCATATTCAGTATTTGAGAATGAATAATGTAATAATATATGGTATTTAAGATTGAGTAATCAATATCAAGTATTTTTGAACGAGTATTGTTTTGTATTCTAGAATGAGTTATGTATTCGAAATGAGTAATATGGCAATATCAAGTATTTCAGAATGGGTAATGTATTGATATTGAGTAATTGGAACGAGTAAAACCTATAGGTATTATCAAGTTTCCTTGAATGAGTATTTATGTAATATCCAGTATTTAAGAATAAGCAGTGTGGTAATATCAAATATTTTACAATAAGTAATGAATTGATATCAAGTATTTTACAATGAGTAATGTAGTGATAACAAGTATTTTACCTTGAGTAATATAACTGATATTAAGTATTTCCGAATATGTGGAGATATCAATTATTTAAGTATGAATAATACATTGATGTCAAGAATGAGTAATATAGTGATATGAGCAAGTATTTTAGAATTAGTAATGTTTTGATATCAAGTTATTCTTAGAATAAGTTATGTGATGATTAGAACGAGTAATATACTGATATCAAGTATTTCAGAATATGTGGTGATAATAAATATTTTAGAATATGTGATATGTTGGTATCATGTATTTTGATTGAGCAATGTAGATATGAGTTTATGTTGGCCTACAATGAGTTATGTGTCGATATCACATATTATAGAATAAGTAATATTGTTATGATATCAAGGAAGTCCCAGTTTAGCTTTAAGTGGAAAACTAGTTGGAAAATATATGTCAAAAAGTTTATAAGATGGCAGATATTTGTTTTTAAATTATGCGAACATCAATAATGTTCTCCATAATAATCGATTATCAGTGATATATTTATACCATCACGCTATGTAGTAATTGTAGTTAAATTACTTTTGGCGACGATATTATTTTTCTAAGAAATTGAATACGTCTTTCCATATCTCTTAAAATGCTGCGAAATGAATAACAAATGTACAGTGGCTCTTCTTTAATTATTGAATAATGTAGCGAGTAGGGGTCACAGAATCGTCAAGGATGGCTCACCGACAATTATTTACCATGTTCTATGGTATTGTTAGTCAATGCAACTGTTCTGGCTAAATTGTCCTGCAGGCCGGTAGCCAGACTTGATTGTTCCCGGGAACAAGTAATTTATTAGGAGGGTTAATGGTGTTAAGTAATTGGCTGCAGTAATAGATTTGGTCAGTTGCCCGAATTTTTTCCGCAGGGAGGGGGTTGGATGACAATCCATTTGTTCCCTTGCTCACTCCCCCCTGTAGCTACGGGCTTGCCATCGGGAGCTGTGAATAGGACAATAAACTTTACTTGTTTCTTTTAAGGGGCCATGTGTATAATCTATGCAAAAGTGTAGACCGTTTCTGTGGTTTCATGAAAAAGAAGTCTGACAAAACGTGCTGATAAATTTTAATAAATTCATAATAAATTAGAAACATGGGCTTATCACATGTCAAGGAAAGACTGAGTTAAAATGTAGGATTATAATATCATATGGTATAATACATGTTACCTAAAATATATACAACTTGATAAAATCACAGTAAAAACAAATTTAACACCAGCAAACGTGTACCGGCCCATCCACGTCCGAAAGTGACGACAGAAATGTAATTTTACACAGTTCCTTACATAGTCTTTGATTTCCATGGACTTTACAGTCAAAAAAATTTAACTTGCCAATCTTAAATCAATAAATGGATAGGTATCAAATTCCAACCGACCGACCGACCGACATGCACCAGCTAACCAACCAATATGGCGCCAAATTTGGGCGCTAATATTCATGATTAATAAATCTCGTATAACGGAGAGCGGGAACTTACAAAATGTACAATGGCTGCGATAGAGAATTGTTCGAGATAAAGTCTTACCACACACCTGATCTTGTTCGTTTTCTGTGGTTAATATATGCTACTAGCAGAGAATACGAACAGGAGCGGGCGTACTGCGATATGTAATATTCATAATCGGATATTAAAAAAAAAAAAAATGCTGCAAAAGTAAAAACGTCACTATAATAGAGATAAAAATCACATGGCGTTAAGATGAATGCGGTAGGCAGTAACCCAATAGCGATAGAATTAAAAAAATTTTGCGAAGCACAAGGCGATTAAAGGAAATGATACTGCGATATGACATTAAGATAAAACTACAAAAGCAAACACTTGTGTTGAATTTGATTTAATAAAAATAACCATGCCGCAATATACAGCATATTGTGATAAAGAAGAAGTAATCATGTTGCAGAAGATAGGTATCGAATGGTTCGAAGAAATAAAAAAATCTTGCTAAAAGAGAAAGAAATTAAATGGCGATGAATAAAGTAATCATTGTACAAAAACAGAATTTATTTCGTGATAACAATGAAGAAATTCAGTCATTTAAGACAAAAAAAAAAAAACATTTGCATAAAAATAGTGCCGCTAAAGATCTAATTATTCTGACGAAACGGTTTTATGATCGTATGTTTCTTGAACCAATTGAAAATTCAACTATAGCCTTTTTCTAAGTGCACAACATGAAGTCATATCCGCTCTAGGTAAGACAGAATTATCGCTGATTATTATGATTTTTTTTTCATTCTGTAGTCCGGTTGCCTAATAGTCATGATGACATAGATTTTCCTGATTTATAGCTGCGCACTATATTTGCAATTATACAGTATATAGGGTTATTCAAGACATTGGATTATTCCACGCTACTAATCTCGTTATAGAAAATGATTCAATTGAGAATCAGCATAAATTGAATAAAGAGTGTGACATTATGTAAAACAGTGCATTAAGAAAGATTAAGAAGAAAAAAGCAGTATAAAATGTAGCCTATATCTAGATGATATTTGCATAGATAAGGTAGTGATCTTGGCTACACTGCCAGACTGACTATAACTATTTACAAAATAAACCGTTACTACTAATAATAACTATCAGCCATTATTCTATCAAGTCTTAAAGTCATGAAATCCCGTAATATTTCACTTCACCATCAAAGAATTCTAAATACGATCCTTCAACCAAGTCTCTTAAGGGGATATAATATTAAAAATTCAGTTTTTAAAGCGGTAACATTGAATTTGTGAAGTATATTTTAAGATATTCTTATTTTGAATAACATTTTCAAATAAATCATTTCAATAATCGATTTAAATCAACTGTATTTCAAAATTCGGAAACGTATTGCAAAATTGCTCAATGTTGCCTTGTTTGTATTCCTGTCTTGGGTGGTCTGACGTATTTATTATATATTTTGATTGCCCACAAAATATGGTGGCATGGCCCGAAACATTAATAATAACTGAAACGCACTGTTAAGTTTATGTGTAACACTTACATCTCATGATAGACATGGCTATAAAACAATCTAATTGGCCTTGTTGTTTCAGCTTTAAAAACATGGACACAAATACCTTGGAGCTCTATCTACATGATATGAAGGGCTAATGAGTCAAAGCTCAACCATATTTCAATGGCGTGGTGTCGGCTATAAATATAACAAGTTTCGTTTCAAACAATACTCTTGCCTGAATTTGTACGGACCAAAATACAATTTCAATTCACTATCAAAATATGGATTAAGGCTTGATTTTACCTGGATGTAACTTACAGAATTCCATAGAAAGCTATGAAAGCTTCGTTCGTATTGTTAACAGTGACAAGAGCCCAGGAACTTCGGATATAACATGCGTCATTTGACTTTAAAATAGATAAAATACCCTTTTCCGTAAAAATTCAAAAGAAAGAAAATAACTTGAAAGTGCTGACTATAACATTATGTGATTTAGAAGAGAACGCCACTAATAGTTGCGCGAAGAATAGCTATTCGCATTTATCATGCTCGATATGTCTATATCATCATACATATTAGTATGACAAATAAAAAAAAAGACCTTCATCGACATCCAAATTATTTCCCTGAGAAAAAACCATCATAATTTGGTTTCGATTTGAATTTTATTTTTTGGTCAATCCTGGATGGTGGCTGTAAATTTGAGGCCAACTAAACTCCCAGGGTCATAAGTTGTTCGACGAGATCCAAGATGGTCATTTCAGAGATCGTGCAACGCCAATAAAAAAGGAGATAATCGTAAATTTTGATTTGAATAGAGAAAATAATACTATCGGTATAATGCAAAATGGATTCGATCCAAAAAAGCCCTATCAGTGTATAATTTAATGTAAAAAAAAAAAGAAAAAAAATATCCAGCCGATAATGTTCATCCCAGCCGTTCACCATGTGAAATTGAGCTTTATCTTCAACCAACTGACTTACTGTGATTACTTTTGTTGCGAAATCCGATTTTACTAATTAATTATTCAATAGATTTTATAGATGAGAGTACATAAGAATTGTTTTGACATAAAACAATGCTCAAATTTTGAGGCATTTTCGTGTGAAAGCTATCCAATGTATTTATTTCAGTTGTAAATTTTACCAAACATTGCATTTCAGTATAAGTAAGTCGCTTGAAGACTATTATTACTATTTTGAATCTCTTTTCAATTGATACATTGGTACAAACAAAAGTAATCAAATGATGTTATAGATGCACTTTCGTTTAAACACATCGACATGCGCTAATCGGTGCAAACACGAGCAATTTATTTTGCCTTCATGTTAACCTAATCCAAAATTCTTGTCGCAAAAATAGTCTTTTGAGTTCACATCACATAGGTTTATCACATTTACTTTGCCAAGTAGATATCACAAAGGTACCTCGTTAAAACTATTAACATTATCACATTCAAAACAATCACAGTGCGTAGAACATTCAGACGCAGAACACTCAGCGATCAAACAACTTCTAAAGCACGTGTCTATAAGGCCGAGAAGTTGCTATTAGTAGACCAAATTTTGCATAAAAGTCTGTTGTGGGGTAAGAATTCCTAACTCATTAATATTTTCGTTTTTGAAAATGATTGCAAACTAAAGAATGCCAATCAAATTCAACACTATACACAATTCTCGTTTTTCCCACCACTTTCCGAGGTCAAGGCCACAGTTTCGCCAAGTTCAATGGCCGCATTATCAACCACAGAAGTTCTAGTTGACACGCTTCTCATGCCCCTTCCTTCCTCTTCATCTCGAGCTGCCGTTTCAATTTTTTCAATATCCTTTTCTCTCCTTGCTAATCCATATTGCACATGGGTATAGTATAGCACAAAATTGCTCACAATAATGGGCACAGTAAATGCTATGGTTAGCAAACCAGCAATTGCACATAATGATCCAATGATGTATCCAAATCCAGTTTGTGGATACATATCGCCATATCCCACTGTTGTCATGGTGACGATACTCCACCAAAATCCTATTGGAATGTTATCATAGCCTTCATTTCCTTCTGCGAAATGCATTAACGAAGCAAACACAACCATACCGATTAATAAAAACACAAACATTAACATAAGTTCATTAAAACTAGCTTTCAAGGTATACAACATAATCCACAGTCCAGGCACATGGCGGATTAATCGGAAAATACGACACAACCTGAGCATGCGCAATATGATCATAAAGTCCATAATGACCATACCTTTACGACCAATAGGGTCGAACATTAGGAAGACCATTTCAATATAATCTGGAATAATGGCGACCATGTCTATAATATTTTGCAATGATCTCATAAATTTGATCTTACTAGGAGAGCACACAAATCTTGATATGAATTCTAAACTAAAGAACATTAGGCAAGAAAGATCAATTACGACCAAACTTGGATGAGGCAGTGTTTTCTTATCTTTTTCCTCATCTGTCATGATATAATCCCCTTCATAATCGTCAACTGTATGTTCTTTCTGCGCTTCCACTTCCTCGGCCACTTTTTTCATCAAGTCTTCTGCCAATTTAGTGATATTTAACTGAGTTTCATTGACATTCGCCAACGCCGTATCAGTCTTTGGCCAGTTGTATTTGTCCATATTTAAAAACTCGTAAAGTGTTTGCATAGATTTACTTTCGATGTCTTCCGGTGCCACACGGAACAGAGGATGAGTTTCGGCACAAAAAGAGAAGATGGACATCAGGACAAAGATGATTGATACCCAGGCATAAATCTGAAATTAGAAATTAGTTTAAAATTACAAAATAACAAAATATTTAACACGATCAACAACCGTGGGCGAATAGAGACCAGCAACATCAATCATGCAGCTGTTCAAAGATTTTCAATTGTTACTGAAAGTTGGTCAGTGCTCTTAACCAGGAACATGCCTTCACATTGTTACTAATAGGAAGACAACCACCAAGAGTTATATTTAAAGGGATGGTCCATTGCTGTAACATTTTTCAAATAAATAGGTTGGTATTCAAGGGAAGAGCTCATTGCTTTACCATTTTGAAACACTTATTGTTGGTATTTAAGGGATTGGTCCATTGCTGTACCATTTTGAAACACATATTGTTGATATTCAAGGGAAGAGCTCATTGCTGTACCATTATGTAACACATATTGTTGGTATTTAAAGGAAGAGCTCATTGATGTACCATTTTGAAACACTTATTGTTGGTATTTAAGGGATTGGTCCATTGCTTTACCATTTTGAAACACTTATTGTTGGTATTTAAGGGATTGGTCCATTGCTGTACCATTTTGAAACACATATTGTTGATATTCAAGGGAAGAGCTCATTGATGTACCATTTTGAAACACATATTGTTGATATTTAAAGGAAGAGCTCATTGATGTACTATTTTGAAACACATATTGTTGGTATTCAAGGCATTTTGAAACATATATATGTTTGAAACATATTTGTGTTAGCATTTAAGGGATAGTCTATTCCAATACCACTTTGAGGAATATATGTAATGGTTTTCTCTTGAGGATAAAATATCCCGATGTCTTCCTCTCATTTATTATAAGGAAGTCTGTTAAGGAAATAAATGTTGACAAGATCTAGGAGATACAGAACCCATTTTCCCATTTTATCAAAATATTGATAACAATCAATTTGTTTTAAGACTGGGGATTTGTTATTATCTATTAGGGAATAACTTAATTGTTATTCTTACACATATCGAAATCGTTTATCTGCGCTTTAACAAAGCTTTATAAATAAATGGCAAAGTATCCTTGAAATTGTTAGTAAACACGGAACAAACTGTCCCAAGAGCCACTTTAACACCCATATTGACTTTACTTTTACTGTTACTGTCCATCTAGAACCTGAACCAACTGGAAAACATTGTATGCCACAGCAATCAAACTATGCTCCGCATATTAGTTACGCCTTATAATATGTAGTATCTTCACAATGTCAAGTTATTACCAACTGCGCATCGAAAAAATTGACATTGTGAAGATGATTATGCAGCTCCTATTTGTGAGCACTACTATACAAAGATAGAATGATTTCTCTCGTGGACACTAGACAGCCAATACTTCTAGAGTCCAGGTAATGAATATTCATGTGTTTTGTTTTTTATTCACCTTAATGACCGATGGCCTGCTTTTTGGCCCAAGACCTCCATGTCGGACTTTAGAGCCAATTTAGATAATATAAGATACACAATGATAAATACACATAAATGTAAGATATGTATAATTTCAATGTCTGAGAGCCTTCCAATGGGAATTGGAATGGATAGGAATCTATTGAGTGCTCACAAGAGAATTACCATTTAAACAATCTCCAGGAACCAGGAAGTTTTATAGAAGGAATCTTCTCATTTTAAGACAAGAAAACAATTTCAGCAAGAAAATTGTCACATAATGTTTTGAACAAATATGAAAGTGATTAATAAATATTTTATAGCCAGATGTTGTCCACAAATTAAAATACAATATTATGCGAGAAACTAAGTTCTGTGGGGAGACAGAAGAAATATTGTTACATCTGAATGAAAGCTCATCCCAAGGGAAATAACTTATACTAGAAATATCGAATAATATACAAATTTTGAAAGTAAGTTTAAACGATTAACTTTCAAGATATAATATAATATAGGCCAAAACGAAATTATTGTTGCCGCTGTTTTGATGACCAGTTTCATGAAAGAGACAAATTATATTTGCAATTATATTGTGATGTCGATTTTCGTTTCGAAGAGATGTAATCTTGCTACTACGATTCGCCACGGGCGACAACTCCACAAGGGCCGAATGATTTTAAAGGAAAATCGCCGAATTCAATATTATATGTAATCATTTGCTTTTGCATAAAATGAATGCATTTTCCATAATATGGACATCACCAAATATTACATCAAATTCAATAGTTCCGTTGTTGACTAAAGTTAGCAATCCATGATCCAGTCCATTTTTGCGCCAAAGTGTACTTCCAGTTTGTGCGGTTGGTCGTTTGGATTTTTATACCACCCACTTTCACAAACACAAATCTAGTCGCTCACCCTCTATACAGTTGTCTCAGTTTCTTCTTATGGCTTTGCAAGCTATACCTTGGACGGATACGATCTTCAAATTTCCTTGTTGACCAAAAGATTTCCGTTTTCATTACTACTATAGTTTCTCCGCACCTATTTTTTAATCTATAAACTCGTTCTTTATTTAAAACAAATTTAGTTTTTTACTTAATGCGTTAAAGTTAAATTTTTCAAACTGGAAAGGAATTGTTTGGGCGAGACATTGAGTGATGTGTAAACCAACATGTCTATAGAGAAAGTGAAATGAAGGGAAGAATTTTACATTAACCTATTGAATCAATTTGAATATCGGTCTTGTTAACTCCACATACAGACATATTTTAATTTACATAGTTCCCACACATTGCTATGAAACAGAATGAGGGTTTGAGACTAACAACAGTCTGTGTTCGCCCACTTTGAACATAACAATTCTTTGGAATATTCCGTTCCAAGACAATCTTATAACTATTTTATCAACCAAAACAAACTGTATCAGTAGAAATGTTTCAAATTGTCAGTCAATCATAAGGCCATTGTCATATATAAAAGTACAACGAGTAATCTACACTATCATTGTAAGATATAACAGTACAACAAGTAAGAAATATCAGTCTACCAAGTAATTCATAATACTGCTTTGAGATATAACAGTCCACCAAGTAATTTATAATGCTGCTGTGAGATATAACAGTCCACCAAGTAATTTAGAATACCTTGTCAGATAATAATAAGTCAACCAGGTAATTAAGAATATACCATTGTCAGATATAACAGTCTACCAAGTAATTGTCAGATGTAATATTGTGTCATTTTCGTTTTTGTATCTCTGTCAGACACAATACTGTACCTTTATAAATACCATTGTCCAATGTAATACTGAGCATTTCCATTGTCAAATCCTACAACACCGTTGTCAGATGTAATACTATGCATCGATTGTGTTAGGTTCCGATGCCATTGTATAATACTACCCCATAAAATAAATAATACCATTATAAACACCACTGTCAGATATAATACAATGATGCCCTTTAAGACATTGTCAGGGCATAATACTTAGTCACTGTCCGCTATGCGTGTCATATTGTCAAATATGATTCATAAATAGTACTAAAATCAGACTCGTACAAGCCATGACGCTTGACAAATTACCCCCACCCTCACACGAAAGACTCCAAACACCCCATCGCACCCCTGAGACTTTGAGCCAGTTGCCGACCTAACTATTACATATCTAAGGTATTACACTATCGTCAGAAATCACACCGAATACTAAAAATGACCCAGCAGATTTGGTTTATAAATTAAGGTCTGGGCCTATAATATTTTTTCTTAATCAACTGTAAGAAAACATGGCTACGGCTTACCCTATTCATCACAGAAAGAAAGAAATCTTGTTGATTAAATAAAAAGAGAATGTGAAATATAATCGCCAAGGGAAGTTTAAAGAGGCCCGAAGAACTAAAAACTAATTCAATCACAATGTCTCGAGTATCTACAATTTACCTTAAAAATGTTCTCATCTCTCCCAGTAATACAATACAGACTTGATTTGATACGTTACGTGTGAGTAACTCTCACCAATGATTTTTGCTGGAATTTGATTTTTTAAAATAAATATTGACATTAAATGGGTACAAGCTGTCTACTGAGCTCATAGCGGTGCCTTCTACACTTTGACATTCTTACATCTACCTCCTGAGACAATGATCAAAGATCTAGTAACGATATGTGACACATGATTTCTGCAAGATGTTAAGTCAAACATTTTTTTTTTTGCTTTAAAGGCTGTTTAAGCTAAGTTCTACTGCACCGAGTAACTTCAATTAAGACTTTCGCAATGATTCGTGTGATAAGATTCCATTTATTCAATCAATAAGTTTGACTTTATTGCCACAATAAATTACAGAAATACCACCAGAATTTGTTATGTATATGCACAAATAGAGCAATATAATTATCATTAGAATACAGTCGATAAGGCTTTAAGACAAGTGAAATATGCAGTTTTCACAATTTACAGTATCTGTTCCACTAAACCTCATCTAATCAAACTAACACACCCTCCAAAATCCCACACGCCTTTGGTGCTTCATAGCAACCTTAATCCCCTCCTGGGTCACTTTCGATTTTGACCTCTCCAGTTTTTATTATTGAACTACATCTGTAGAATAATATTTATCAAGGTGGTTGAACCCCCACACTCGTTCAGTGGCAGCATAGTTCCTTCCTGATAATAGAAAACTGATGTAGATTGCGTGCTAGTTGAAATTGATATCCTCATTAGAATATTCCATATAGATTACAAATTGTATCAAGCCTTAAAGGTTAGAAAGTAACTGATGTAATTTTATCGAAGTTTTGGTGTAGTGACCTTTGTTCGTGGTAAGAGTTGATCTTATTAATCATCAATATAGGTATCCAGGTCTCAAATGTTCAGATGATTAGCTCAATATATCTAGAATACGTCCTCCAGTGACAATTACGTCTGAACGGGGGAGTTTATGAATTATTTTTGTTGAAATAAATTTGGGGAAATGTTGCGTGTTCTAACAGAAAGGGTATCTTGTCCCATAATCATACCCATACAAGTTAAAATGAGGCAAAGAGAGTCTGATTGGATTTGAAATACATAATTGAAAAAGTTTGGTCGAAAAAGCTTTTGCCCCATTTGCATCAAAAGTGACAA